CTACTACTACTACTACTACTGCTACTACTACTACTACTAGTGCTACTACTACTACTACTACTACTACTACTACTCTCATGTCTAGTACTGCTACTATTCCTGCGACTATTCCCAGCATTATTACTATGACTAACTGCTGCTACGACTACTACGACTACGACGACGACTACTACTACGCCTACGCCTACTACTACTACTACTACTACTACTACTACTACTACTACTACCACTACTAGTATTCCTATTACTATTACTATTACTAGTACTACTACTACTACTACTACTACTACTTTTACTACTACTACTACTACTACTACTACTACTACTACTACGACTACTACTACTACTACTACTACTACTACTCGTACTACGACTACGACGACTACTAGTAGTATTAGTAGTAGTAACTCTACTACTACTTAACTAGTACTACTACTACTACTACTACGACCACTTATATGCCACTACTACTACTACTAACTAAACTACTCCTACTCTACTACTACTACTTACTACTACTACTACTAGATACGAAGTACTACTGCTACTACTACTACTAACTACGACTACTACCGCTACTACTACGAACCTACTACTGCTACTACTACTACTACTACTACTACACACTACTCCTACGACACTACTTTCACTACTACTACTATTTATTATTCCTACTACTACTACTACTAGACTACTACTACTACTACTACTACTACTACTACTGACTTATTACCTACCCTACTACTACTACACTTGCTGCACGACTACACTACTACTACTACTACTAACTACTTACGACTACTACTAGTACTATTACTTTACTACTACGACTACAACTACTACTACTACTACGCGCCTCTGCTTCTGCTAACCTATACTATTGCGACTACGACGACTACTAGTAGTAGTAGTAGTAGTACTACTACTACTACTCCTACTCCTCCTACTACTACTACTACTACTACTACTACGACCACTACTACTGCCACTACTACTACAACTACTACTTCGACTACTACTACTAGTACTGCTGCTACTACTACTACTACTACTACTACTAGTACTACTACTACTACTACTGCTACTACTACGACTACTACTTTCACTACTACTACTTATTACTACTACTACTACTACGACTACTACTACTACTACTACTACTACTACTACTACTACCGCGACTACTACTACTACTACTACTACTACTACGACTACTACTACTACTTGCACTACTACGACTACGACGACTACTACTACTACTACTACTAACGCTACTGCTACTACTACTACTACTGCTACTACTACTATAACTACTACTACTACTACTACTACTAATAATACTACTACTACTACTACTACTACCACTACTACTACTACTACTACTACTACTATAAAAAATACAACTACTCCTACAACAACAACAACAACTACTACTACTACTACTACTACTACCGACTACTACTGCTACTACTACTACTACTACTACTACTACTACTACTACTACTACTACTACTACTACTACTACTACTACGAGCACTATTACTACAACTACCACTACTACTTCTACCACTACTACGATCCAGCAGAAGACGCGCCAGATCCCAACCGCAATAACTCAGGCGTAAATCTGCTCCTGTAAGGTGTCCATCGCAATTTCAGATAGCAATGAACAAGTATGGTAACATTTCAATATGTTTCCTTTATTCGCTTCCTCCTCGGTTGGGATCTGACCGTGCCTGGTGTTTTAGACGGTTGGGATCTGAACCGTCCGGTTGGGATCTCACGCGTCCGGTTGGGATCTGAACCCATCGTTTCCCCTCACCCCCTCCTTCCCCCCTCGTTCCCCCCATCGGGAATTTTCAGACCGCTGGCATGACATGAAGCGTTTGGGCCGTGTCTTGATTTATTCGCAGTGTTCTGGCTTCCTGATTTTGCCCCATGGGGTCCCGCGCGCCCTGCAGGCCCGAAGCCGTGGCCCTTCCAAGATCCCGTCCACCAGGGGTAAGCAAAACTAGAAGCTCGATAAGGCTGAGCGTGGCTTCCATCCTACCACCTGAGAGGTTTTCGACGGCTACGTCATAGCAGTGAAGTTCGTGACGTTTCCGTTGAGTCTTCCATTGGGGTGCGATTCATTTTCTCCGTGCCTTGATTGTTTGGCGGGATGCTGGCCCTACCCTGAGGGCGTGCGCCACCCGACGCATTTCCTTTCGTCCCCTCTCGCAGCCTGCCCGTGTTCGTGCCAGCGGACGCGGCCCGCAGTCGGTCCCCGCCCCCCTTCGTTCCCCCCCCACCCAGTGGCCGAGACCTAGGCCGGCGAGGTGAGGGGAGGGGGGGGAAGGGCGGAGAGGGAGGGGAGAGGGGTGCGGCTAGCCCCATCGCCCCCCTGGGCCGATCCCAGCGAGCGCCCTGGCCAGGACGTCGAGGCGAGTGCGGCCACGGCGGCGGGGGCCTCCAGGGGAGGCTCCCCAGGCGCGAAGCGCACCTCAAAACACCTCCTGCTCCTCCCCCCCCCCCCCCTCCTCATCCCCCTCCTCCTCCTCCTCCTCCTCTTCCTCCTCCTCCTCCTCCTCCTCCTCCTCCTCCTCCTCCTCCTCCGCCGTCCCTCCCCGCCCCCTGCGGGCGCACTGGCAGACAGCTGCTGCAGCGCGCAGCGGGCGGAGGACAAAGGAGGGGCCGAATGCAAAGACAGAAATCATCCTCCGGGAATGGGGGCATGCGCCCCCCCCACCCCCCCGCCCGCTGCCGGTGTCTCAACGGCCGTGAGGCCGCGCGCGGGCCGCAGATGCCGTCGTCTCGTCGTCTCGTTGTCTGTGATCGGGGGTGGACAGACCTCCTACCCTGATACGTCGATTAAGGAATTGGCCGTCGTCGGTTCGCGAGAGGGCGTCGCGGCCGTCATTTTTGCGGGTCCAGGTCCGTCGGTTTCGGTCCCAGGCCGTTTTCACTAAGAGGAGGTTTACTAAAGGGAGGTTTGTCCACCGCCGATGTGAGTCAGGAGCCTGGTGAGCCTCCCCCCGCAGGAGGGGGCTGCGGGTACAGATGCGTCTGCGCTCGGGCCCCGCACGGGCCCAGGGGCACCCACGTCAGAGGACTCGGCATCGCTCGGACGTGTGCATCTTTTTTACCGGCGAGAACCATCGAGGACCATCCTGGAGCATCGAGCAGAAAATAACACGCACGGCACAGAAAAATACACGGGAAATGGACGTCCGAGCGATGGCCAGAGGAGGAAAATGTACCGATACCGGTACCCTGGTCTCGTTTTTATGTTTGGGGGGCGTCTTGGGAGGCCCTCGTCGCTTTCACTGGATTCTCTTCGAGGTGCTGGTCAGAGCGGAACCCCGGAGAGATCTGGGGCAGCGGCATCGGTATGTATCATTTGGCTTCTCCAGCCCCTTGCGCGTCCTTGCGAAGGCAGGAGGGGAAACATCACACAGGCAAAGAAATATCGATCCCCAGGAACAAATGGGAAAACGTGGGAAGCGGAGGAGAAGACGAAATCTCAGAGAACATAATTATGGGACACACACTGGGGATCTTGGGACGTGTATATGTTTATGTGTGTGCCTGTCTGCCTGCCTGCCTGTCTGTCTGTCTGTCTGTCTGTCTGTCTGTCTGTCAGTCTGTCTGTCTGTCTGTCTGTCTGTCTGTCTGTCTAGCTGGCTGGCTGTCCGTGTGTGCGTGCTCGCGTGCGTGCATGCGTGCGCGCGCTTTTGTGTGTGTGTGTGTTGTTTGTGTGTGTGTATTTGTATGTATTTGTGTGTGTGTGTTTGTGTGTGTGTTTGTGTGTGTGGTATGTATATGTGTGTATCTGTGTCTCTGTGTGTATCTGTGTATCTGTATATTTGTGTGTATCTGTGTATCTGTGTATCTGTGTGTGTGCGCGCGCGTCCCTGGGAGGTCGGGCCCGCGGAGTGGCGGGCGCGCGAGCACGGAGTCCCGGCGTCCTTATTTGGCCTCCCCCTTCCGCTCCCGGTGGCAGCGCCAGCGGCAGAGGCCAGCGGGGCTGCCTCGGCAGAATATCCTCTCGGGCTCGAGGCTCGTTTCGGGGGCATTCGGATTCGATGCTCGTTCGGTCCGATGCTCGTTCCTCTCGGGTTCGATGCTCGCTTTCGGGGCCCATCCAACGGACAACGGATCCGTTCGACTCGGGTTCGACTCGAGGTCGATTCAGGTTCGATTCGGGTTCGACTCAGGTTCAACTCAGGTTCGACTTGGGTTCGACTCAGGGTTCGACTCAGGGCCGACTCAGATCGACGGGAGTTCGACGCAGCTTCGACGCACGAGTGGGGCGAGTGTCTCCAGGAAGGTTCCCAGAACGAGCATCTAATTCGGGGGGCCTTTCGCTTGAGCTGTGTACAGCGAGGCTGAACAGGGCAGGAAGGTGCGATCAGAAGTTGCGTGTGTTCCGTCCTGGCCGATGTGTCCAGATGGCGGCGGTGATGATGATAGATGTTGACGATGTTGATGATGCTGATGATGATGGTGGTGGTGGCGGTGATGATGCTGATGAGGAGGAGGATGCTGAGGATGATGATGATTACGACTATGATGACGATGATTAGTCGTACGTTTTCTTTTTAGTTTATGAGGATGCTGATGATGATGATACTGATGTCGATACTGATGATGATGCTGATGATTATGCTGCTGATGATGATGCTGATGATGATGATGATGATTATGCTGATGAGGCTGACGATGATGATGATGATGATGATGATGATGATGATGATGATGATGATGATGATGATGATGATGATGAGGCTGATGCTGCTACTGAGGATGATGAGTATGATGATGATTATGATGTTGCTGTTGCTGCGGTTGTTGATGAGGAGTATGGTAAGGAGGAGGATCATGATGCTGTAAGCGTGGATGCCATGCCGATGATGTGGACGCCATGCTGACGATGAGGAGGAGCATGCTGATGCTGCTGATGATGATGCTGCGGACCATCAGGGGGGGCCCCGAGCCCGCTGCTCCGCCCGCGGCCTCAGGTCGTCGAGGTGGCCGACCTGAGCGGCAACTCCCTGCTCTCCGACGCCGGCCTCGTGCCCTTCCTGCAGCGGCTGGCGCGCGGGCCCGCGGCGCGGGCCCCGGGTGGCGCTCCGGGGCGGTCGGGCCCGCCTTGGCAGGTCCTGCGGCGGGTCCCGCCGGGAGGGAGGCGGGCCCCGAGCTACGGGGGGGGGGCCGTAGGGCTCGAGTTCGCCCTCGGCCTCGTCCTCCTCGTCCTCCCCCTCCCCCTCGTCCTCCTCCTCCCCCTTGTCCTCGCGTCTGCTTTTTTTTTTTTATATATATATATATATAGAAACTTCGATAGAGCGAGGGGCCGCAGCACCTGCCCCGGAGCTGTCTCAGTGGATATGCGTGGCTCGGCAGGGAAGATGTGGGCCTCAGGCCCGCTCAGTTTGTGCTGCGTGCTGCTGCGCAGGATTCGGAATCCCGTCATTCGTGCTTGGGACCGTGGAACCAAAGGACCGTGAGAAAAAACACCGTCGCTTCTTCTGCTGCGCATGCATGTTGGCGTGACGAACTCGAAGCCGAATTTGCGGTCTCAGGGGACTTCAGCGTCGCTGGAGAATTGTTAGGTATGATGATGATTTCTGATTTGGTTTGCCTACCTGATCTCGTCAAGGCCTCCCATGACCTTAACTATCCCCTTCGTCTCCTGGTTCGTGCCTTGGCATCCATCTTGGACCCAGGATGATAATTTTGCAGAAGCAAGGCCGCCCTGAACAAATCCCTGGGGGGGGATCCTGGCGGGCTGCAACCAGGCGGTGTCTCAGGCCAGGTCAGTAGGAGGAGGAGGAGGAGGAGGAGGAGGAGGAGGAGGAGGAGGAGGAGGAGGAGGAGGAGAGGAGGAGGAGGAGCAGGAGGAGGAGGAGGAGGGAGGAGGAGGAGGAGGAGGAGGAGGAGGAGGAGGAGGGAGGAGGGGGGGGGGGGAGGAGGAGAAGGAGGGGGAGGAGGAGGAGGAGGAGGAGGAGGAGGAGGAGGAGCAGGAGGGAGCAGGAGGAGGAGAGGAGGAGGAGGAGGAGGAGGAGGAGGAGGAGGAGGGGGGAGCGGGCCGGAGGAGGAGCAGGAGGAGGAGGAGGAGGAGGAGGAGGAGGATGGGCGGGGGACGGGGAGGGGGAGGAGGAGAAGGAGGAGGAGGAGGAGGAGGAGGGGGAGGAGGAGGGGAGGGGGGAGGGGGGGTGGGGAGGAGGAGGAGGAGGAGGAGGAAGTGGACGGAGAGGGGGAGGAGGTATTAGCTGTGCCGCCTGGCTTCTCGCACGGTGCTCGCCCGTGGGCGCCTGGTGGTCGCCTGGCGTGCGGTGTTTGGGTCTTCTTCCGAGTGTTCTCGCCCGGTGCCCGCTCGTCGTCCCCTGGTGGGCCGCTCGTGTGCTGTCTGGGTGCCCGAGTGGGGTATCCACTGCAGAATTAGTTTGTTTGTCCCCAGTCCTGGCATCGCTCGGACGTGTGCGTTTTTTTTCCTTGGCGAGGACCATCGAGGAGCATCCTTGACCATTTTCTGAAGAAAAAAACAAAAAAACAAAAAAACGCACGAAACCGAAAAAAGCACAGGGAACTGGACGTCCGAGCGATGCCGAGCAGTGTGACACGCACGAAACCCCAAAAAGCACAGGGAATGGACGTCCGAGCGATGCCGAGCAGTGTGGTATGTCCTGCCGGCGCCACGACACAGTACACAGAATTCATATGCTCCCCGTCGATCGACAAGGCTCCTGCTTTTTCTGCCGTGGCTTCGGCAACAACTCAGCTCTGGGGTGCGTCAGTGCTGCTGTCGATCCCCTGCCAGAGTTCTGGGGCGCTGCGGCTGGAGTTCCCGCGCGCACATCCAACGCTTTCCTGTTTCTGGCGCGGTGTTTGGCGCGCTCTGGTGGGTTCGGGGCCGTTTGGGGCAGCTTTTTTCGGACACTGGAACGTATACATTACCAGTGGCGGGCTGTTTCTTGAATCCCAGGACTTTTTGAGGGTCGGGGACGACGCTGGGGTGGTGTGGTGTATACCTACTAGTTTCCCCGATGCCCCGGGAAAACGACGAAAAATGTATACACCAGGATCCCGTATACACCAGAATCCGCGTTCCTGTGCGAATTTCAGCGCAGGGTCGGGAAGCGCGTCGGTGTATAGAGTTCGTTTCCCTAGTTTTCGGCCTCGGGAGGACTTTCGGCTGTCTTCGGCGGGTTTAGGGCTGGTTTTTCCGCCTCCGGGAGCCCTCGCCAGGCCTCGGGAGCGCCAAAAGACGACGCGGAACACAAAATTGGCCCAAGGGAAGTGGTTCAGACCTCCAGGCCCTGGAGGTTTGGACTCCAGACCTCCAGGGCCCACTCATCCAAGAATTGGAGCAGTCGGATGTCGGGGTGGCTAGAGTTTCGGCGAGTTCGGGCGTGGATTCAGCCGTGGCGGCGACTGGGTCCGAGAGCAAGCCGAAAACGCGCGGCACGCTGAAAGCTCTTCCTCACCTTGCCCTTCCCTCCCTCCGCCTCCCCCTCGTCCCCCTCCTCCCGATCCCCCCTCCAGCGGCAAAACAGCCAAACGTGCAAGCCCTCAACTCGTGGCCCACAAGGTGACCATCGTTTTGAAGCCTGGGCCTTGGACGAGTCCGTCCAGTGTCTAGTAGTAGTCCAGCCGAGCTGTGGACGCAGGGGAGGAGAGGGGTACAGGAAACATAGCCAACAAGAATTCTGCAATGTTTCAAACTTGCAGGTCTGTATGTATGGACTCTCTCTGCATGCTTCCCAAAGTCCCCAAAGTCAGTGAGTCTCTCCCCAGTGTGCTTCCTGATCGGGGGACGATTGTGTCTCAGTTTGCACTCTGCCGTACCAATCTCGAGGGTGGTGCGCAGGCTCTGCTTTCGATCGGCCTCGCGATCGATGAGTTGCACGCTGCCTATGATATGACGTGGCGCTCGTGTAATGTTGCACGGGTTCGCTTGAAATTGCATTTGCTTGGCAATCTTAGGGGACATCTCGTTCATATTCAATTCCAACCGTCCATCCCTCCAGGCTCCACCGCAGGCACCCGGAAGCGCAATACAGTCAAATCGCGGCCGTGCCCGCTACATTCGGGGCAGACCCCAATGCGTTGCCCAGGACCTTCTTGGGACCCCCCACCCCACGATTCCTCGCCCAAAAATCACCAACGCCCCCCACCTGGCCTCGACCTCGCCCCGACATCCCCACCCCAGCGAGCCTCTGTTCTTGGGACCCCCCCACCCCACGATTCCTCGCCCAAAAATCACCAACGCCCCCCTCCCCGCTTCCCACCTGGCCTCGACCTCGCCCCGACGGCCTCACCCCCGCGAGCCTCTGTTCTCGAGACCCCCCAGGAATCCACAGGCATCTCATTGTGACCAGTGAGAGGCGCTTGAGAGGCTTCTGAGCCGCTGCGAGGCCCCCGGCGAGCTCCCAAGAGGTTCCTGGCGTCGCGGTCGCCGTCGTCGGGGGCCCGCCTGCGTGGGCCGCCCGCGAGGCGACCCGCCCGCCGCGGGCCACTTGCGCGGTGCCTGTGTCAAATGGGAGAGGTGTTGGGTGGGCATATCCTTGTTCTGTTGGGGCCCAGGCGGGGCTCATCTCGATCCCTCCGATTCGATTCGATTCGACTTGGGTGGGTTCCGATCCCGATTCGATTCGACTCCGGATTCCGATTTGGATTCCGATTCCTCGATGGAGGCCTGCTAGCCTGCCGATTTCTGCCGATTCGACTTCTCCCGACTCGGCTGCCGATTTCCGCCGATCCGATCCATTTCGATCGCCGATTCGACTTGCCGATTCGATGCTGGGCTCTCCGGGGCCCAGGATGCAGGTGCAACGAATGGTTTCCCTCCACCAGTTCTCGGGTCACCCACCCGCCCGCTGGTCACCCGCGTGGTGCCCGCTTCACGCGGGAACCGCACTGAGTGGAAAGATGCACCACCCCTTGCTGGGGCCAAACCATGCGAGTGGCACAGTTGTCATTCTCAACAAGTTTTCGTGAGACCTCCCGCCCGTGGGTTACCTGCATGGTGCCTGCTTCCCCCCTTTTTCTGGGGCCCAGAATGCAAGTGAGACGGCTTGGTATTCTCAATCAGTTTTCGGGTAACCCACCTGCCTATGGGTCACCTGCGTGGTGCCAGCTTCATATGGGGACCGCGTTGGATGGGAATGCATCACGCACGTGAAACAATCAAACACATGATTTTTTCTTAGCCAGTTTTCGGCTGGCCCACCCGCCTGTTGAATACAAGCGACACGTTATTTGATTGTGTCAACCTGTTTTCAGGTGACCCACCCGTCTGTGGGTCACCTGCGTTGCACATGCTTCACACGGGAAACGTATGGAATTGGTGGTACCGGCTTCATGCGGGAAGCGTTTTCAGTGGGAATGCATCACCGTTTGTTCGGCCCCAGAACTTCAAGTGAAATCATTTGCATGCCCAGATGCAATTGACATCGTTTGCATGTCTTAGTTTTTTGGGGGGTGACCCACCCTGTCTTGATTGGCCATGTATTGAATATGGAAATGTAATGAAGTCGTCCATACAGGACATGTATTGAATAGAAATGCATCACCTCATGTTGAGGCTGGAATGCACATGGAACAATTGGCTCTTCCCAGCAAGTTTTCGGCTGACCCACCCGCCCGCTGGTCACCTGCGTGGTGCCTGCATCATACGGGAAATATGATGATTGGGCAGGGATTCGTCGCCTCATGTCGGGGCCCAGACTGCAAGTGCAACGAATGGTTTTTCTCATCCAGTTCTCGGATGAGCCACCAGCCCATGGGTCACCTGCGTGGTGCCTGCTTCATACGGGCACTGGTCTGGGTGGGAATGCATCGCCCCCCGTTGGGGCCCAGAGTGGACTTGAACACAACTGGCTTTTCCCCACCAGTGCTCGGGTCGCCCACCCGCCCGCGGGTCACCTGCATGGTGCCTGCTTCATGCCGCAAGCGTAATTCGCGTGAGCTCATCGCCCCATGTCGGGGGCCAAGAATTGAAGTGAAACAATCAGGAGGGAAAAAACACAGACACAATTCACCGTCGATTCCGAGGAAAATAGTGGAAACTATGGGAAGTGTGGTGGGGTGGGGGGGGAAGACAAAAAACCGAAAATATGGGGAATCTGTTGATTTGTGTCTATTTCTTTGCGTGACCTGGGGCCCCTTCAAAGAGTTGAAGTGAAACGAGTGCTTTGTCCCATCCTGTTTGCGGGCGAGCCCCCCGCCCGCGGCTCGCCTGCGCGGTGCCTGCGGCGCTCGGGAGGCGTAGATTGGGGTCCAGGCACGACAGTGGTCCCAGGCGTGCGACGTCGTGTTTTTTTGTTTGTTTTTTCCCTACCTAGGCTCTGCCTAGAAGGGTTCTTACTCTCTTTGCTTAAAGGGCCGGGCAATGCTAACCGCCCCGGGCGGTTCCCCCAGTCCCCGCCCCGCGGTTCCCCCAGTCCCCTGGGAGCTTTAGCCTTAGCTTTAGCTTTAGCTTAGCTTTAGCTTTAGCTTTAGCTTTAGCTTAGCTTTAGCTTAGCTTTAGCTTAGTGTTAGCTTAGCTTTAGCTTAGCTTTAGCTTACCTTCAGCTTAGCTTCAGCTTAGTGTTAGCTTAGCTTTAGCTTAGCTTTAGCTTAGATTTAGCTTAGCCTTAGCTGAGCTTTAGCTTAGCTTTAGCTTGGCGTCAGCTTAGTGTTAGCTTAGCTTTAGCTTAGTGTTAGCTTAGCTTTAGCTTAGATTTAGCTTAGCTTTAGCTTAGCTGTAGCTTAGATTCAGCTTATATTCAGCTTAGCTTTAGCTTAGCTTTAGCTTAGCTTTAGCTTAGCTTTAGCTCAGCTTTAGCTTAGCTTTAGCTTATATTTAGCTTAGCTTTAGCTCAGCTTTAGCTTAGCTTTAGTTTATATTTAGCTCAGCTTTAGCTTAGCTTTAGCTTAGCTTTAGCTCAGCTTCAGCTTCAGCTTAGCTTTAGCTTAGCTTTAGCTTAGCTTTAGCTTAGCTTTAGCGTAGCTTTAGCTTTAGCTTTAGCTTAGATTTAGCTTAGCTTTAGTATAGCTTTAGCTTAGCTCCAGCTTAGCTTTAGCTTAGTGTTAGCTTAGCCTTAGCTTAGCTTTAGCTTAGCTTTCGCTTAGCTTCATCTTAGCTTTAGCTTAGCTTTAGCTTAGCTTTAGCTTAGCTTTAGCTTAGCTTTACTGTTACTACTAATGCTGCTTTCCTAGGGGCTCCAACTCCTAGGTAGGGTCGCACTGGGATAATTTCTCGCAGCGTGCCAGACGTGCGACGTCGCGTTTTTTGTTTCGTTTTTGTCTCGCAGCGTGGCTCCCCAGAGGTCTGGGCCCCCGTCCCTGGGATGGGCTCTTCTCCGCCCGCGCGCCGCTTCCTGAAGCTCCCGGAGCCCGGCGAGAACCCCTGTGGGGCCGAGATTTGCGAGACTTTGTTGGCCGTTTTTGTTCGCAGCGTTTTTTTTTGTTGCAACGCTTCGGGGATCCTGTACACCCCTCCTCCTCCTGCTCCTCCTCCTCCTCCTCCTCCTGCTCCTGCTCCTCGTCCTCCTCCTCCTCCTCCTCCTCCTCCTCCTCCTCTTCCTCCTCCTCCTCCTCCTCCTCCCGGGGAGTGTCAGGGGTGCAGTTGGCGCCGTGCTGCAGGACAGCACAGGCCGCCCCCCGTCAGGGGCAACGTTAGGGGGGAATAGGTTCAGGGGGGGGATGCCTCGATCCCTACGGTAGGTTTGCGTCGTGTCGACCCGCGGTGACCCCAGCGCGGGCGTTCAAGGTTGAACGCCGCGGGCGACCCAGAATCGATCGATGTGGAACGATTGGACGTTTCGAGAACGGCCGATCGTTCAAGGTTGAACGATCCAGCGCGGTGTCAGAAACCAACGCTGCGGTCGGCACGACACGAACCTGCCGTAATCGCCCATTGATCGCCGACAGGGGCCCGATAGCCCACCCCGCCCAGAAACGTGCGGATTCGCTGTGGGGGGTATATCCCCGATCTGTTGGCGATGTATGGCCGATCCCAGGTCGCGACTTGCAGAAACGACTTCCGAAAGATCTGACAGAGTTGCGTGTTTTCGAATTCGTTTTTCAAACAAGGATTTCAAGCAATCTGAGGGCTGCGTGCTTGGGGAAGCCGAGTTCGGCTTCCAGAAACACGCGCAGCTTCTCTTTCAGGCCGTTGTTTGGGGCAGTCGAGCCCAACCTGCCAACAATCACGCAGTTCTTGCAAATACGACCCCTCCTGAGCTAACGTTGGCCCCCCCCCTCGAGCCAACGTCGGCTGCACGCAGGAGTGACCTGTCGCCGGAGTGGCCTGTGGTGCGGGCACTCTGGGGCCCCCCGATCGCTGAAACCGATGAGATGGCAGCGGCGTGCGCGCTGGGGTCTGGCCCCCCCCCGCGCGCCGAGCTAAGGCCCCACGGGGCCGAGGTCGGCGAGACAGTCTCGGCGGGTTCTTGCGCCGCGCGAGGGTGTCGCGGGTGCAGCGGGCGCCGTGCTGCAGGACGGCACGGGCCGCCCAGTCCTCGGGGGCACCGTTGGCCGGTGAGGCCCCCCTGAGCTGACGTTTCCCCCACCCCAGCCGCGCACGTAAGGTCGCTCTTGCCTAGGCTCCCCCTTGCGTTCCGTCGACAACCCGAACCGCGACGTCGTGATTTCTGCATGTCGTCGACCCCCAGAGGTCTGGACCCCTTCCTTGGGACAAGGTTTTCGTCCTGAGTCGTTTTCTGACGGCCCCGAGGCCCGGGACGGGCCCCTGGAGACCGACAATAATGAAAAATGTCGCGTCGTTTTTTACAACAGCAGCAACAAAAAACGCGAGGGAGGAGGTCTGGGAACGCTGCCCCCCCCCATCCCTAGGGGAGCGGGCGGGGCTTAGTTAAGAGGGAAAAGAACACACAGACACAATGAATCGTCGACCCTCCAGAAAGTCCCTGGGAAAATATGGGAAGCGGGGGGGAAGACAAAAACCCAGAAAAGACGAGGAAATATTGGGAATCTTGTTATTTGTGTGTATTTGTTTGGCCGCTCACCCTCCGGGACTTCGCCTCCGGCTCCTGTCCAAGGCGTTCTTTTTCCTGTGCAAGCTCCTCAGCACCGCCTGCACCCCGGCCCGCCCTCCGGCCGCCTGAGGCCCCGCCCGCCTGTGCTCTGTCTCCCCAATTAGTGCTTTGTGCGGCACGCCTAGCTCTTAACTGGAAGAGGCTCGCTCTCGACCCGCAGACCAAAACAGTGTGTATTTATTCGTGTGTCCCAGGGCCCCTTCACTTAGGTGCACACGCTGCAGCGCCTGCTGCTCTCGAGCTGCCTGCGCGCGGGCGTGCGCACCGTCGAGGGCGTGGTGCGCCTGCTGGGCCGGGCGAGGCCGTCGCGCCCCCCGGGGAGGGCAGGCAGAGCAGCCCAGCGTCGCTCGGACGCGTGCGCGTTCGGTCGCCGAGGGCCATCGAGGACCATCGAGGAGCATCGAGGAGGAGGGGGAGGGGGAGGGGGAGGAGGAGGAGGAGGAGGAGGAGGAGGAGGAGGAGGAGGAGGAGGAGGAGGAGGAGGAGGAGGAGGAGGAGGAGGAGGAGGAGGAGGAGGAGGAGGAGGAGGAGGAGGAGGAGGAGGAGGACCTTGAGGAGCACCTTGAGGCCATCGTGCGAAACAGACCATCAACCCGCATGGTAAGGACGGGTAGCCTTTCGAAGGGTACCCTTGAATCCTTGCCCCTGCGGCCCGTCCTCGGCGACCTTCGCTGGCCAACCTCGCTCGGAAAACGCCAACATGGGCCTCCAAGGCCCTTGCATCCTCTCCGTGCATCCTTACGATACGGCGTTAAGTCGGGCGTGTCCCCCTACAGGGGGATTGTCGACGAAAATTAGAATTACTCCGACGGAAAAACCCCACATAAGAATCCTCTGGGCGAATCTGGAAAAAGCCATCACCGTCGTCCTCGTGGTTGGTGAGGCGTCCTGGCTGTCTCTTCTGCGTATATTTCCTCTCGCCTTGGCGCGGGCCCCCCTTCCACTCCTTACGTTGTCCCCATCCTCGCCCCCCTGTTTGTTCCGCGCCCCGCCACCTCCTCCCCTTCCTGTTGCATGAGCGCGCATGTCGATGTTCCTCGGCGCCGTCGCCGCCACGGCCAGCACAGGCGCGTTCTCTACTGGTCACGTCGCGCAGCCGTTGGGACAACCCCGCGGGCCAGGCTGTCGGGACAACCCCGCGAGCCGTTGGCGCGCAAGACCAAGCCGTTGGGACAACCCCGCGGGCTTCGAGCGAGGCGCAGCCGCGCTCAGGCGGAAGGCAGCACGAAGCCCAGCTCTGCCGCGAGCTGCTTCGCCTCCGCCCTGGACAAAACCGCTCTTTTGTCGAACTCCAGGAGCGCCTTCCGCAGGGACGCCGGCGGCCCGCACTCCAGGAACTCTCGCGGCGGCGGCCGCAGGATCAGCATGTTCCGCATGCACGTGGCGCGGGAGAACATGACGTAGAGGTGCAGCCACCACTGCTCGTCCGACATGCCCGTGCGGCCAGCGTCCTCGTCTCTCGCGCAGTCGATGGTGACGCCCTTGCGCAGCGTCTGGCCCTGCGACAGCGTGGAGGTCAGGTAGGACGCGTGCGTCAGGGTGAACCCCGAGCGGCGCACGCTGTGCGCCCCCGAGCTCTGCCATGTGAACTCCCTTTCGCTGGGCCTGAACATCAGCAAGCTCCGCGCCCGCGCCTCGGCCTGGCCGTCGTCGTCGGCGCCTTCGGCGCCCTGTCGCAGCACCTCGGCGACCTCCTGGTAGATCGGAGACTCCTTGAAGCCGTGCACCTGCAGCCAGATTCCCTGCGGTAGGAAGCGGGGGCGAAAGAGCTGGCCTGCCGAGCACTCCTCGTAGCGCTGCTCGTCCTCGTGGTGGAACTCGAAGGACACGATGGTGGCCCGCTGCTCCTGCACGAGCCCCAACTTCTTCTTCAGCTCCTCCTGCGCTGCCGTGAACCGCACCTCCATGCCGACGTGGGCCGGCAAAACGCCGTGGATGTCCCCCGTCTTGTGCATGTTCGGGACGTTCAGGAGGCGCCGACCCGCGTCGGGCTCGCTCTGAATCGTGCCGCACTCGTCAACGGCCTGCAGGAAAACAAGGGGCACGCCCAGACGCCGAGCGTCGCGACGAGCGCGCGTGTTGATCCACCTCGCCAGCGTCTCCCAGTATATGCCCATGCCGTAGCCGAGCCGAAAGTTCTCGTGCTGGTGCCGAGGGTCCAGGACGCCCTGGTTGTCCGTGGCCAACGTCTTCTCCCAGGCGGACCAGACCTCAGGTGGGAAGGGCTTGCCCTCGCGCGTGCAGCCCAGGAACGTGATCAGAGGGTCCCCGGGCTCGAAGCGCTTCGTGCCCTTCAGCTCGAAGACGCAGGGGATCTGAGAGAAGACCTTGATGGCGTGCTGGATCTCCACCGTCGGCGGGTCCGCGTACCTGTACGACTCGTCGTCGTCCAGGCGCTCGTTCACGTCCGTCAGGAGGCCAATGCTGCCGGTGGGCTTCAGCTGCAGGAAATCGCCAGGGGCACGACCCAGAGGAAGCGCACAAGGGTGCGTCCCAGTGGATACGTGCGGGGGCACGACCCAGAGGAAGCGCACAGGGGTGCGTCCCAGTGGATGCGTGCCGGGAATAGCGTTCTGGGAACACGACGAACACGAAGTGGCCTACAGTTGGCTCCTCGCAATTCACTCAGAGACGAGGCTCCCGCCTGAGACTTCCTCCAAATTCAGGCCTGAGGAGCCCAAAAACTTCCTTGTTGCGTCCAAAATGTGGCCTGGGAACTGCGTTCTGGCAGCGCGAGAACCCAACATTGACGACAGTTACAGGTTTTGGATGACCCGCTCGGATTACCAACATGGCGCCCCATAGGGAGGGGGCTCCCGCCTGAGACTTCCTCGCAGTTCACTCACAGACGAGGCTCCCGCCTGAGACTTCCTCCATATTCAGGCTTGAGGAGCCCAAAATTGACGACAGTTACAGGGTTCCGATGACCCGCTCGGATTACCAACATGATCTGCGGGCCCCATAGGGAGGGGGCTCCCGCCTGAGACTTCCTCCCAATTCACTCACAGACGAGGCTCCCGCCTGAGACTTCCTCCATTTTCAGGCTTGACGAGCCCAAAAGTGACGACAGTTACAGGATTCCGATGACCCGCTCGGATTACCAACATGATCTGCGGGCCCCATAGGGAGGGGGCTCCCGCCTGAGACTTCCTCACAATTCACTCACAGACGAGGCTCCCGCCTGAGACTTCCTCCAAATTCAGGCTTGACGAGCCCAAAAGTGACGACAGTTACAGATGACCCGCTCGGATTACCAACATGATCTGCGGGCCCCTCCCGCCTGAGACGACGAGGCTTGAGACTTCCTCCAAGGCATGACGACAGTTACTGATGACCCGCTCGGATTACCAACATGATCTGCGGGCCCCATAGGGAGGGGGCTCCCGCCTGAGACTTCCTCACAATTTACTCAACGATGATGAGGATGAGGATGATGAGTGGTGGTGAAGATGAGTGGTGAAGAAGGATGATGATTGATTGTGAGTGGTGGTGGCGATGATGATGTTTGAATGAGGATGATGCCGATGCCGATGATGATGATGATGATGATGATGATGATGATGATGTTCGTGAGCGTGTGAGAGAGTGCGAGTGATGATGATGATGAGTATGTGAGTGACTAAGCATGTGAGAGAGCATCTTCGATGATGCTGATGAGGTTGATGATGAGAGAGTGTGAGTGAGTGTGAGTGGGTGTGTGTGTGTGTGTGTTCCTGTTCCTGCGCGGGGTGTCCAGAGAAAACAAGAACCCCACTTTGGATGTGGGGAAATACGCGAAAAAATCACCCAAAAGGTGAAAAATATGTGACAAATAGTCCCCCGACTATTTTTGGACTATTTCTTGATCATTTTCGGGTTTTTTATTTTTCGTCGAAAATCCCCCCGTAGGGGGACAGGCCCGACTTAATGAGACGGGTTGACTGCACACACGCACACACACACACATACACACACACACACACGCGAAACCGGAGGCTTCGCGCGGAATGGACGCCCGAGCGATGGGGGGGCAGGGGGCAATGCGCCTCTTGAGGCCCCGCGGAGCCCTCGGGCTGCGACGGGGTCGGCTCGGACGTCGAGGCTCGTGGCTGCAGGCGGTGTTTCGGCGTTTCCAGCCTCTGGGGTTAAGTCGGGCGTGTCCCCCTGCAGGGGGATTTTCAACGAAAAACAAAAAATATTCCCAAAATAATTAAACAATAGTCCAAAATAGTATGAACAACTATGTTTTGAGTATTTTTAAAAACCTTTTTGGGGCATTTTTGGGGTATTTTTTATTTTTCGTCGAAAATCCCCCTCAAGGGTATTTTTCGGCATGTTTGGGGTATTTTTATTTTTGGGGACAGGCCCGACTCAACTCTGGGGGCGGTCTGCGGGCCCCGGGAGCCCCGAACATCGATCCGGGAGCCGTCTTCGCAATGATATCCGATTCCCGAACCAGTTTTGTGGAAAGCGGCACACACCCAAGGCTTTGTGGAAAATCGATCCGGGGTGGAAAACCGCGTCGGATGGTTTCCGGTTCTGGTTCCTGCTCCGATCCAGGAGCCGTTTCTGTGGCATCCTTTCCAGGAGCCGTTTGCGCATGAATGTCAGATTCCCGACGCAGTTTTTGGAAATTTGGCATCGCTCGGACATGTCCATTTTTCTCGGCGAGGACTATCGAGGACCATCCTGGACCATCGAGCAAACACAACACGCACGAAACCGACAAATGCACGGGAGATGGACGTCCGAGCGACGGCAAGGAAAGCGGCACACAACAGACTTTGCCGTCTCGGGGGCCAGCTAGTTCAGGTCTGGGCCTCCCAGCTGGGATCCGAGCACACGGGGTCGGAAGGTCGGTGTTCGGAAGTTGTCTGCCTCTTTCGCCTGCTCTTGGAGGTCTTCCAGCCTCGGAGTGCTCGCCGGCAGCTGCGCCTCGTCGAGAGCGCTCCCGGGGTACCAGAGTCCTCCCGAACGGCCGCTGGAGAGCCGAGTCGTGCCCCGAAAACCACTCCAGGCCTCCCAAGTGATGTCGGAGTAGTCGACCCCCGATCACCCATCCATCGTCGATAGGGGCCTGTTAGCCCGCCCTGCCCAGGCACGTGCGGTTTCGATGTCGGGTGCGTATCGCCGATCTGTCGGCGATGTATCGTCGATTCCAGGTCGACGTTTCTCCCCCTGTTCTGGCCCCCACCCCTATTGTTGCCCCTCACGCCACGGGGGAGGAGGACAAGGACTCTCAGCTCCTCCCGCGTCGGTGGAGGCCACATGATCGAAGGTATGGCACGTCTTTCGCTCTTCTTGCGCCTCTGGGGTGCTTCTCATGGCCACGGCCAGATTTCTCCTGATGTTCTGAAGAGGACGCTCCACATGACAGGCCCAGGGACAGATTGTTGTTCCCTCTGGGACCTCCCTCCCTCAGACCGCTTCGCGTCAGGAAGAAAAACAATTTAGGGGTCGGGGTAGTTTTTGTTGCACCAGTGGGGCCCTTACCAGGTCCTAGGGCCGTCAAAAACGGCTCTGATGAGAAATCACGGGGTCCACGTTTTCAAACAATAATGGCGCCGGCGCCTTGGGGAAGAGGAGGAGGAGGACGAGGTGGTGGCATACGAGGTGGACGAGGACACGGACGACGACGACGACGACGACGACGACGACGACGACGACGACGACGAGAAGGTCATAGTTTGAGGTGCGGGGATCACGTGTTTTTGGGGGGCGCTTTGGCTTGCCCCGGAGGCCTCCTGGACGTCCCACGATCTCCCAGAGACCTGTGGAGACTCTGAGGACCTCCATGGAGTGAGAGTAGGGGGTCGGAGTACGGAGGACGGGACGCGGAGGGAGGGCGGACGCAGAGGGAGGAGGGAGGAAGGAGAACGGAGGCAGGCGGGAGGAGGGCGAAGGTCAGAGCGTGAATTACCTACCCCGCTTTCGCTTCCAGGCAAAACCAAGCCATACCACGCGCCTCCTCGTCAAGCGGCCTGACCAGTACAGGCTGCAATTTGGCATCGTTTGGTATCTCTTGGAAGCGAGGGTGGTCAAAAGCGAGGTAGGTTTGTTTCCCCCCTAGAAGGACAAAGAGGGGGAGGAGGGCGAGGAGGAGGAGGAGGAAGCGGAGGTAGCAGGAACGTGAGAGGGACCAGGAGCAGGAGCGAGCAGTCACCATCACTAGCTGGAGGAGGAGGAGGAGGAGGAGGAGGAGGAGGAGGAGGAGGAGCTGGAAGGGCATGAGAGGAGCGAGGACGCGCTGGATGGTGTTGAGGACCATATGCAGGGGCAGTACGGTCGAGCTTATGATTCAGAAACCTTCTCCCGGACAGTTTGGCCGGCGTTTCTTAACCAATATGTCGGAAAGGTGGCCCATTTGCTTGCGCACGTTTGCCCCTCCAGCGCTAACAACAGACATTCGCCCACGCAGGGTTGTTTCCAGAAACTTCGCGAGGAGCATGTCCTCGATCATATTTTCGGCTGCGGTCAGCTACGGCCTTCTGAGAAAAGACATTGGTCCAGAGCATTCGAACTCGGCATTACGTTGTGGCGACTGCTGTAGTCCTGACCGGCCGAGCGTAGCAGAGCGCTTGGGTTGGCGATCGTACCCACTCACCGATCCAGCCTGCAGTCTGCTCCACGAGATTCGCCGCTCGCCCGAACCTCGTGACGTCACCTTCGAAGGGCCCCGCATGCAGCAGTGCGCACTTCGGTATCTACTCGCCCGCGTGCTTGTTGCTCGGCGTATCCCTCTGGTGATGCCGCAGCCCAGTCGGCTGAGCCGCTGGTGTCCGCTGATCCACTGGAAGGTCGGATTGTCGACCCCGATGTCGTAGATCAGCCGCCATGTCCGTCGCCACTGCTCCGCGAGTGCATGCGGAGCATGGCAGCACGCCTCGGGCCCAGCCTCGATGCCACCAGTCAGGCCGTGGCAGCCCGTGCAGATCACACGGGGGGGATGATGTGGCAGTCCTTCCACGGCGGGCAGCTCTCCCGCTTCCGACCAAAAACAAGATTGAAGAAACCGAAATAAACAGTTGCGTTAAGAACATATCATGTAGCCATCCAGGTGATCGCTCGTGACAGGCCCCGACGGCGCGTCCAACGTTGTCCACCGTGGCGCAGCCGACGCCCACGCGCACCTCGTCCACGCCGGACTCGCCGGCGCCCGCCGGGCACCTGCGAAAGACTGCGGACCGACCTGCGCCAGCACGCCTGGAGAGGTCGGCGTGGGATGCGCAGCGGTGTTCCCGCACGACGCGGGGCCAGCACGCCTCGCGGTCCACGTGGGCTGACACGCGGTAGAGGCCGCCAGAGAACAGAGTTCCTGCGCATCGCCCGATTCGCGCCCAAGCCGCTGTTGGCGAAGAAAAGCGCCCATCCAAGATGCCGCGTGGACGGGGCCACCCCCATGGGCCCCACATTCCAGCGGTGCCTGCGCGGCCGCTGCAGGAGTGCAATCGTCGGCATCCGAAACGCACAGAGCTCACACCCGCAGGGAGGAGGGGGAGGAGGAGGAGGAGGAGGAGGAGGAGGAGGAGGATGAGGGAGGAGGAGGGAGGAGGAGGAGGAGGAGGAGGAGGAGGAGGAGGAGGAGGAGGAGGAGAGGAGGAGGAGGAGGAGGAGGACGGAGGAGGAGGAGGAGGAGGAGGAGGAGGAGGAGGAGGAGGAGGAGGAGGAGCAGCAGCAGGAGCAGGAGCAGGAGCAGCATAGGAGTAGGCAACCCCTGAGCTATGCATGGGCGTGGACTAATCGGTTCGGTTTGCGCCGTCGAGCTGCCCCACGCCGTGCTGCGGGCTGCCTTCGCACTGGTTGGCGGCGCGCAGAGGGCGGGGCAGGGCAGGTGCGCGTCGTCTCGACTGACGGCGACCCCGCCGCCCGCGCTCAGCGTTGAACGCCGGCGGCGGCCCAGAGTCGGTCGACGTTGAACGATCTGACGTTTCGGTTCACGGCCGATCGTTCAAGGTTGAACGATCCCCGCGGTGTCAGGAACCAACGCCGAAGTCGGCACGGCACGAACCTGCCGTAGGGGGAGGGGGGAAGGCTCCTTAGAGCACCCCTGCTTCAAGGCGCGGGCCTTATCTATAGATGTAGGGCTGGCGCCTTCTGAGATGCAGCCTCCTTCCAAGAAGCCTTCACCCCTCCCGTGCGCGCCGCCGCACCGGCCTGGAGCGGAGCCAGCGGAGGGGGACGTCCAGGCACAACAGAGAACCCAAACCACGGCGAAGTGGATTTTTCGGGAGGGCCCTTCGGGGGGGGGGAATCCGCCGACCTCGACATGAGCACTCTGGCTGTGATTGCAGTCGATTTGGCCGTCCCGGGACGCCACATCGACCACAACCAGTACGAAGCTGGTTTCAGTGTCCCGACAATGTTTGGCATGCGCAGGACATCCCCCAGGGTGTGTCCTCGACGCGGTTGCGGTCGCATGCTGTCCCCGCAGGACAAGAACCGGGGAAACGTGAGACTCGAGTTCGCCGGAACTCGGGTTTGCCGACGCTCGTTGGCGGGCCCGTCCTGAGTTTGGGCGGTCCAGTTTCCGTGGAATGATTGCAGCGGGAGCTCGCGTCACATTTCATATTGGGTCTTGTCTTTTCCCTGACGGCCCCATCGGGCCAACCCGAGTCCCCCGATTTCTTACGTCTCCGCGGGATGAGAGGGACAAGGATCGAGGATCGACACTCGATCCATACCCCTGGCTGCCCCCCGCTCTTGGCGCCAGAGAGAGCAGGGCAGGGATAAAGGCGGCGTGGCCACGGAGGCCTGGAACGTATCCGTGTCCTCGCTCTGGCTCCTCGTGGGGTCGGGGCGCGGGCAGGGGCGTGGATGACATGTCGATCGCCTGGAGGAGCGGGGGAGACAGGCAGCCGAATCTGAGCGACGCAAACAGAAAACGGGGTCGTCTGCGCCGACATTAACGCGTAAGCTGCCCGCGTAAACTCGCGCGTGAGCGCCCTCGCTTCCAGTGTAGCGTGCCGCGCTGCACTGGAAGCGAGGTAATTGGTTGCTTCGCGCGCTCGCCGGGGTGCGCTGCCTTGCCTCCTCGGCCCTCCTCCTCCCCTCCTCCTCTGCCTCCTCCGGCTTCTCGGCGCTCTGTTGTCACCCGCTCTTGCCGCTGGGCTCCTTATGGATGGTAAAAAAGTGTAGCGTGCCGCGCTGGCGGCCCGCGTAAGCTGCCGCGTGAGGTCACCGTGCCATCTCGCGCAAGACCCGTGTTTGATCGGCGCTCGTGGGACCCTTAGCCTCCGCGGCGGCTCGTTCTGGACCAGCGGGGGCTCACCAGTGGGTTGGGCATTCGGGTTGACCCAAAAGGGGGTCCAGCGACAAGGGGGTGGTGCAATAGATTTGGAGCAATAGACTTGTGGAACTGCAGTGCATTTGGGGCCTGCAATACATTCCTGGGCGCAAGTGTGCTGCTGGACTCCCGCGCGAGACCTGCTTTTGCTCGGCGCTCGCGTGTGACCCATGCCCCCCGCCCCCGCGTGCCCCTGCTTGGCATCGCTCGGACGTGTGCATGTTTTTTTTTGGGGGGGGACCATCGGTGAGCATCTTAGATCATCTCGCGACGAGGAAAAAAACACGCACGGCATCGAAACATGCACGGGGGATGGGCGTCCGAGCAATGGCCGAGCCTTGGGGGAGGGAGGGCGGGACGAGAAACGTAACGGTTGTTCGGCCACGGTTCTCATCTGCATCACGTCGGACCCAGTCAGAGCCCCGAATCATCAGGGGTAACTCGGGTCAGGGATAACTCGGGTTCCTTTTTCGGGAATCCAAACCCGAGTTACCCCGGACCCGAGTTACCCCGGATAACTCGGGCGCCCAGAACCCCGAATCATCAGGGGTAATTCGGGTCAGGGATAAATCGGGTTCCTTTTTCGGGAATCCAAGCCCGAGTTACCCCGGACCCGAGTTACCCCGGATAACTCGGGCGCCCAACCCAGGGGGGGAGGGGGGAAGGAGAATCTCCTGACCACCTGCCAGCATCGCAGCGGCCTCCGCATGCCTTCCCTCAGCCTTATGTCGGGCGTGTCCCCCTACAGGGGGAATTTTCGACGGAAAATGAAATAATACCCCAAAAATACACCAACAAGGTCAAACAATATTCAAAACATAGTCCCCTGACTATTTTTGGATGATTGGTTGATTCTTGTTGGGGCATTTTTTACGTTTCGTCGAAAATCCCCCTGTAGGGGGATAGGCCCGACTTGACCTCGGCCACGTGGTGTATCCTCGTCCTCCCCCGCCGCCCCCTCTGCCCAGCAACCTGAGCACGCTGGACCTCAGCCACGTGCCGCTGAACACCAGGCTGCAGGTGCAGCTCTGCAAGGCGAGGCGTGCGCTCGATCTGCCCCTCTCGGTGCAGAGTAGCGCGGCACCGCGTCGGGCCAGATGAGCTGCACGAGGAAAAGCAGCAGCAATCACAGGAGGACGAAAAGAAGCACAAGTGGGGAGGACGAGGATAAGGAAGACAAGCACGAGACGCAGGAGGAGGAGGAGGCGGAGGAGGAGGAAGAGAGGGCTTGGAGGCGGTGGCGACGTTGCGACTGGGAGAGGTCAATGCAGTCTCCAGTTCGCCTTGACAGGAATCCGTGAGCCCCGACGGTTCACTCACGAGCCTGCGAGAGCGACGGTCGGTGTGGCAGAGGGGCTCCAGAGCAGATTCCCATGCCCCATCCCGGACGGCAGGGTGTTCGGGACGGAGGGCGGGCCGTGCATGCGTGGCGGTCGCAGGAGCAGGGGCAGGTGCAGGAGGAGGAAGAGGATGCCACGGCCTCTCGATATCGAGCTCAAAGCAGTGTCGGCACACGTGTATACAGCTTTAGATTTGTGTGTACACTACGTGTAGACATGAAGCAGTGCATGCATCGCCATGTGCGGTATATACGTGCTCGAAAAGATGGCTCCTGTTTCAAGCGACGGTTTCGTTGCCACCGCACTGGTTGTCGCCGTGACTTCACGCCCCTTGGTCTTCCTCAAGGACAGCAGTCGTTGTGCCCCCTGTTTTTTTTCACAAGCCAGTGGAGAATGACCAGGGATATAATGAAGGACTGCTGAACAATTGCTAAAGGAATGTTTAGGGACCTTCGATGGGCCTCGATGGTGCGTGAATTATCTGCCAAGCCCTCCCTGTGATTCTTCATAGCATCGAGCCGTTGGAGCCCACTTGTATATGGACGTTACTTTTCAGGATCGTCATGGGTTCTTCAGTATTTTTGGAGATTGTGCCAGGAGCGCGAGGAGCGCATATGGGAACCTCGAGTATTCTGTGGTATGTCCGATTAATCTCTGAGGTATGAAATCCCGAACGTTTCACCAGGTTCCACCACATTACTTTCGCGTAACCCCTGGGAATCCACATAGACCTTCAATTAATTTCCAAAGTAACACCAAAGCAGTGTGAACGCCAAGTGCGCCAGACCAGCCAAGTGCGACAGGCGCCCCAGATGCGCCAAGCGTACAAGGTGTGCCCAGTGAGAAAGACGTGCTAAGCGCGTTCGGTACGTACACCGAGCGCGCCAGGTACGCCAAGTGCGCCACGTGTGTTAGGTGCGTTAAGTGAGTCGGTTACGCCATGTGCGCCAGGTATACGAAGTGCGGCAGTTGCGACAGCCGTACCAGGTAAGTTTCCCAGACTCTTTGGTGAGACCGCCTCCGCAAGGCTTCAGAGAGCCCCATGTGCTTCCCCAGAGGGCCCCAATAGAAGCCCCCTTGACGACCCCAAGCCAGCCCCAAGATGGCAAGAGAACCTCACAAGATGCGCGAGGACCGTCCCGAGAGACCTCCCAAAGATCCCCACGGCCCGACTCGACGGCCCGAAGATATTTTTTTCACCAGGCCTCTTCGGGAGAATTCGGCGCAATTGGGAAGGGCATCTGGAGACCGCTTGCTCCTTGCCAGGGTCCCTGTGGCGTCTTTCGAGGCCTCCTAGATCGGGTCGGAGTAGATGGGGTCGGAGGATCGCGCCGCATCACCGATGCATCGCCGATGCGGTTGGATGCGGAGCCCGATTTTCTTGCCGCGGACGTCGCCGATGCATCGCCGACGTCGCTGTTGCGTCGCCGGTGCACCGCCGATGCATCGCCGATGCATCGCCGATGCATCGCCGCTGTCTCGGCGATGCGGCGCGATTCCTCCGACCCTATCTCCCCCGACCCTATCTAGGGGGCCTCTAGTCTTGGCCGCAGGGAGCTTTTCAATGAGAGTCCAAGGGTTCCAAACTCTTGAGCACATAGAAAAAGGTTGGTTTTCAGGGCTCGTCTTCCCCAAACAGTGCTTTCACTGGGCGTTCTCACTTCGCTTGCGAAGCACTTGGCTGGCAGGTCCAGGTGATCGCCAAATGCCCCCACGTTGGCGCCTCCAGGTTATCGCCCAATGCCCTTCGTCCTGGTGGCGGGTTTGGCGGGAGGGGCACCCCCGTTTCGAAGGGGAAGAAGGGTGTTGGCATAGCGAGCTCGTTTGTCCACTCACGCCGTACAGGGCTGGCGGGATTTAGACATCGCGGGGGGGTCGGGGGTAGCCCCTCTGATGGCCAGCGTCTGGCCGTCACGCCCGCGGCCGGCGCTGCGGACTCGTGAGCGCACCTAGGTGCGCTGGCTGGCGTCTGCCGGTCTCTGCGGCCGGTGCCCGAGGGTGGGCGCCGCGTGGGCGCACGGGGCGTTGGCCGGCAGTTTTTTGGGCCTTCGCGCGGTGCCTGCCCGTGGGCGCCTCGTGGGCGCTTTGTGCGCTGGCCTGCGCTTTCTGGAAGCACGCACGGCCCGCTGCCCATGGACGGTACCGCACAGGTTGCGCCTCATGGGCACGACACAGGTTGCACCCCAAAGACGCTACCCCACAGCGTGCACCGCCTGCATATACATGTGTATATATGTATATATATATACATCTGTATATATATGTATATCTATATATATATACATATATGTATGATCCAGGGTCCCTCCCACCCAAGGCATATGGGATCAAGACCCCCCCCTCCCCCCGCTGGATGTGTACGCCCGTGAGCCTTTCGAAGGCCTCGCGAATGGGATCGCTCCCCCCAGCGGCCCCAGAGCACCCTTGGCAGCCCTCCTCCTCCTCCTCCTCCCTCCTCCTCCTCCTCCTCCTCCTCCTCCCTCCTCCTCCTCCTCCTCCCCCTCCTCCTCCTCCTCCTCCTCCTCCTCCTCCTCCTCCTCCTCCTCCTCCTCCTCCTCCTCCTCCCCTCCCCATCCTCCCCTCCTCCTCCTCCTCCCCCTGACTGCTGCTGGCCGGGCTGGCCTCGCTTGGCCGCGGCCCGCCCAGGCCATCGGCGGGCACAAGCGCCTCGAGACGATCAACCTGGCAGACACCGGCATGGCCTCGACGCGCCCGCGCCCCCTCTCGGGCGGGCGGTGGTGGGGCCCCCCCGCGCTGCCGGCGCGAGCCTCGGAGCGCGTCTTGTCGAGGCCGGGAGCGCGGCCGCTCTCTCCCACGGTCGCCCCTCGCCTGCGCCCGCCCGCCCGCCCGCCGTCGTGCTCTGCCGTCGGACTTACGATTCGGAGATCATCGCGTCGTTGGACACGTGAAGACTTCGAATACGCCAGACTTGGTAGTAAAAGGGAGGGGGTCTGGACCCTCCAAGGCAAGCCATTTCAGACCTCCCCCGTGGGAGAACCCTCCAAAACATCGTCCCCAGACCCCCCAGGCCCTCCAAGATAGCCTGGAAGAGACCCCCCCCGAAATGAGACCCCCCTCCCTTTATTACGAAATCTCGAGTAGACATGCAATGCATACTCAAGACGCCGCCTGGCACTGTGTGTTACGCCGCGGGCCAAAAACCTAGACTGGCCTATGGTAGGGCTTCCCTGGCTGGTGCTCGGGGATGCAGCCCGGTGTGTTGCTCGCGAGGCAAGCGAACGGAACCGAACCGAACTGGACAGGCCGGTCGCGCCCGTTGCGCGACGGTTTGATGCTCGGCCGCCGAGGGCGCAAGCTATGGCGCAACCGACAGGAGACGGTTTTACCGTATTCTCGGCCGCCGAGAGCGCAATCTGTGGCGCACCCGATTAGAGACGGTTCTATTCTCGGCCGCCGAAGGCGCAACCTATGGCGTAACCGAGAATAGACGGTTTTATTCTCAACCGCCGAGGGCGCGACATATGGCGCAACCGATAGGAGACGGTTTTATTCTCGGCCACCGAGGGCGCAACTCACGGCACACAGATAGGAGACGATTTCTACACGACAGGTTTCCGCCATTCCGCTGGCATCCCTGCGGCAGGGTCCGTGACCTGGTCCGGCGTTGAGCCGCTCTCTTGAACCGCGAGCGGGCCAGCGAGGGCGTCGAGGACCGAGGTGCCAGGAGAAGGAGGATTAGCAGGAGGAGGAAGAGGAGAAGCGAGGACGAGGTCCTAGACGAGGCCGACGAGGAGGAGCTGGAGCAGGAGGAAGACGAGGAAGACGAGGAGGATGAGGAGGAGGACGAGGAGGAGGAGGAGGAGGACGACGACGACGATCAGGATGGAGAGGAGGACGGGGAGGAATACGAGTAGTACGAGGACGAAGTGTGGGCATTCGACTGGGGCTGCCGAGCGGCGAGCTGTCTTGTGATTCTCTTGGGCGGGTGGCATCGGATGGGGTGGGCCTACACGGGGGGGGTGGAAGAAGAGGGCCCCCCAAAGGGGCCGGTTCGGATCCTTTCTGGCGCCAGCAGGCTCCAGAGGAGGAGGAGGAGGAGGAGGAGGAGGGGGGAGGAGAGGAGGGGGAGGAGGAGAGGAGGAGGAGGAGAGGAGGAGGAGGCCTAAAAGAGGCCCTAAAGGGCCCCATTAGGGCTCTCCTCCGCCCCCCGCTTTGGTCCCCACCCCACTGCCACCCGCCCGACGCTCTGCCTGCCGTCCGTGGCGACGAGGAGTCGTGAGGGAAAGGGGTCCTCCTCCTCCTCCTCCTCCTCCTCCTCCTCCTCCTCCTCCTCCCCCTCCTCCTCCTCCTCCTCCTCCTCCTCCTCCTCCTCCTCCTCCTCCTCCTCTGAGATGCTTGCCCGTCTTTGGGCTCCACGCGGGCCCTCCCCAGGCTCCGCGGGAGCTGTTGGCCATGGTTTGCTTTTGACCGTTCTCAGGCTCCCCGGGGCCTTCCCCCAGAGGCCCAGGACCGTCGGCAGCGGCTGAGGGTGTCAAGCTGGTCCCCGGGAAGGCCCGGGAAGGTCCAGGCTTCGGGTCCCTCGGGACGGCCCTTTCCCCTACGCCAGCCCGCGGTCCAGTCCACACCAGACTCCTCCATCTCCCTTCTTCCCCTTCATCGGCCAGGCCTCGGAAGAGAACGCCGCACAGTCGGGGCGCTGAAGAAGGAACTCTTTTCGTTGGGGAGGGGCTCAGGGTTCCTTAGTTGTTGCGCAGTGTTCCTTAGCTTTTCGATGGTAGATCGATGTCTAACACGGAAAAAGAGGAGCCTCATTCTTTGTTCAGGGTTCTTTCGGGCAGCGCCCCGATTGTATGTTTTCGTTTCTTCCTAAAAACGGTTATACACTCGGACACGCCCGGAGAGCTCCGACAACCCTCAGGGGCCATGGTGCAGTGCTCCCTGTGGGCCATCTCTACGGGTCTGGCTTCTGGCCTCCTCCTCTCCCCCGCCTCCGGCCGGTCCCCAGGGTCCTCTTCCCCTGCCCAGCGCACCTGGTCTGCGCGCGCGCGTGCGCGCATTGTGGCTCCGCCGTGGCACGGCATGCCACGACATCGGGCCTCGCGGCGAGGCGTGACGTGGTCGGAGGCGGGCACCTTCGGGGACGCATCTGCGCCCGGGGAAGGCGGCGGCCAACGGGTTCCTGCCGGGGGGAGCGGGATCCAGTGCGCGGGCCGTTTGCTTTGGGGCGCCGAGTGTCCGGCCAGCCGGACTGGCCCACGAGCTCTGGACGAACTCAAGAGGTTTACACGCCAGTCGCTGAGAGCATGTATATTTGGCTGCCCAGATCCCAGTCTATTTCGAGCGCCTTCCTACTTCAAGAATCGGCATGCTTTGGCTGTGTTTCGTGATTCTCTGGGAGGGCCTGAACCCAGTCTACTCTGTCCCCCTTCCTATTTCATGTTTCTGCAAACTTCGTCCGACCGACCTGGCGGGGAGTCCACAGTGAGGCGTCGTGGGCTTCTTGGGCGCTCTCTGGGCACTCTTGTGGGCGTCTTGGGAGCTGTTTCCAGGCCTGGTGGGGCCTCTGCTCGGACCTGTTGGGGCTGATTGAGGGCCTGTTGTGGGCCGCTCGGGAGCTTCTCGGGGCCTTTGGGGGGCTTCTTGGGGCGGAAAGATCGGATCTTCGGTTCGTGTTCTCCCTCTTGGCCGTTCTTGGGGCCGTCTTGGGGCGATAGTTGGCCGTCGTGGGTCCCTTTTTGGTCCGTATTTGAACCCTCTTGGGCCGTCTTGGGGCCCTCGTAGGGGCCTCTTGCGCCTTCTGGGCCGGTCTACAGGGCCTCTTGGGTCGTCTTGGAGCGTCGGAAGCTCATCGGCGCCCTGTTGAGAAGACTTGGGCCTCTCTTGGGGGGTCTTGAAGTCGTCTTGGGGCGTCTTGGAGCAGTGGTAGACTTGTTGGGGTCAATCGGCGATTTCGGGACCGTCTTGGAACGTCTTTGAGGCCACGGCAGACAGACGTGGAAGCACTGGTGTCTCCGGGTGTGCTCCCAGGAGCCTGGACCCCCCTTGAACAATATGTTGTAGACCTTGGGAGGAGGAGGAGAAGGAGGAGGAGGAGGAGGAGGAGGAGGAGGAGGAGGGGAGGAGGAGGCAGGGGAGGATAGGAAGGGGAGGAGGGAGGAGGAGGAGGAGAGGAGGAGGAGGAGGAGGAGGAGGGGAGGAGGGGGAGGGGGAGGGGGAAGAGGAAAGGGGGACGGGGGACAACCAACCATCTCACACGCCTTCCCACCTTTGTGTTTTTGATTACTGTGACCGTCTCACGTTACGGTCCCCCTTTGAAGGTACGTGTCGAAGCAGTGCATCGGCGAGCTGCTGAGCAGCACGAGCCTCAGGAACTTGGACATGAGTTGGAATTGTTTCAGCTCGGACACTCTCCTCTGCCTGGGCGAGGCGCTCACGAAGAGCAGGCGACAATATTTGCGTTATGACGAGCAGCGGCAGCAGCAGCGAGCTAGGATGCGACCTTGAACAGCCTGGTCCGCTCTTCCACTGCTTCCGGCTCATTCTGGCGCCTCTGTCCCCTCTGCTGCGGCCATGAAAAGGGGGAGGAGGAAGAGGAGGAGGAGGAGGAGGAGGACCAGTGGAAACCCAAGAGTCATCAGCGATGTTTGAATCGACCCTTCCTCCAAGCTCCCCCTTCATAGGACCCTACAACGGTTCATTTCCATTGAGGGAACTGCCTCGTTGGAAGACAATTGTTTGAAGATCTGAAGGTGCCAGGACACTGCACAGCGAATCAGCATAACTGTTGCGCCCGCATAATCCGGAATCCTTTCAAATACCATTTCAATTACGCTGATCATGGGAATCTGTGAAAACGAATGTGCGCGGCGCCAAGGCGAGAGCCACATTTTGCAAACGACCCGCCCTCAATCCGTGCGGCCCTTGCAACGTTTAAAGCAAATGTGCGCGGCGCTCAGGCGAGAGCCACATTTTGACAACGACCCGCCCTCAATCCATGAAACTCTTGCAAATGTTCAAAACGAATGTGCGCGGCGCAAAGGCGAGAGCCACATGTTGAAAACGACCCGCCCTCAATCCGCGAGACCCCTGGAATGTTTAAAACGAATGTGCGCGGCGCGAAAGCGACAGCCACATGTTGAAAGCCACCCGCCCTCCAGCTGTGAAATTGTTCACGCTTTAAGCTTCAGAGTCATGAGTGGTGAGGAAGCCTCACGCGAAACGCCCGCCCCGCCCTAAAATATAGTTTCGGGGTTCGGCAGGGAGAAGTGAATTATAAGGAGTAGGAATGGAGGATGAGGAGGAGCAGGAGGAGCAGGAGGAGGAGGAGGAGCAGGAGGAGTAAAAGGAACAGCAGCAGCAGGAGGAGGAGCAGCAGCAGGAGGAGCAGCATGAGAAGGAGGAGGAGGAGGCAAAGGGTCACTCCGTAGCCTTTGCGGCTCAAGCACGGAACCGTCGCCCTGCGACTTCGTGCTCGCCTGCAGCCACTGGGCTGGTTCGAGGCGAGCTGCCCGGCCAGCGGGCTTCACCCGCACGATCCCCTTGTCGAGCCTCTCGAAGGCGAGGCTCTGTCTGCGCCCTCGGGTTCATTGAGAGCCCGCGGTTCGTTGCCCGATCTGCCAGCAAGCCTACGGTAGGTTTGCGTCGTGTCGACCAGCGGCGACCCCGCCGCCGACGTTCAACGTTGAACGCCGCCGGCGACCCAGAATCGATCGATGTTGAACGATCGGACGTTGCGGCAGCGGCCGATCGTTCAAGGTTGAACGATCCCTGCGGTGTCAAAAACCAACGCCGGGGTCGACACGACACGAACCTGCCGTACAGAAGAAGGGGGACATAAGAAATGGTTGGCAGCAGGGCAGGTGGGCCTGCCCTTGCAAGCTGTGCCACGTCACGAATCACCATGAGTGGCGCGGCGCGTGCTCCGCCTGCGGATCGGCGAAGCCGAAGGCGCCTGGGGTGGTGGCTCCTCGTCTTCATGGCGGTGTTTTGGATAAGCGAGTCCTTGCCGAAGATAAGTTCGCATCGTGAGCCCAGCTGGACAAATCCACCTCCAGGGGCCTCGTGCCGTCGGCGTCTCAGTTTCAGCGGGACAAGCTTTTGCACCGCCGAGCCATGGCCGCCGTTCGTCTCGCCGAGCTCGCCATGCTCGCCGCGCAGGCCTCGCAGGATGTCGGGACTCTCTCGACGCAGCTGCTGGCCGCCCGCACGCATTCCGAGAAGGTGCGCCATTCGGCCCATAATATGTTTTCTTACGCCGTCGGCGTGGAGGAGTCGCGGAGTTGCAGGAGAACGCACGCCGACCCCGCGCGCGGGGTACAGGCGCGTCGCTGGCACATGCTGACCAGCCCCCCGGCGACAAATCAAACGCTGCAAGGGGTGGTCGAAACCCTGGCAGCATAAAGCGGATTTGCCTCGCAGCTCGCGCAAGCCCCGGGGGCCGCCCAGCAAATGCTGGGCGCGGCGGGCGCTGCGTCGCGCGGGCCCGCGGCGGGGCTGGGCGGCTTGGCGCCCCGAGCGGCCGCGCGCCCAGGTGGCCCGCAGCCGCCGCCCACCGCCCCCCCCCCGGCCGACGGGCGCAGCCGGCGGTGGCAGCCGCAGCAGGCCAGCAGGGCCGCGGCCATTCGGGGGAGAAAAAGAAACGGATACGTGTTGTCCCCCTTCGTTTTCGGCCTTTCCTGGTCCTCCTGGGGAGTCCTCGTTGTCACCACTGGACTCGCCTCGAAATTCTGGTCAGAACGCACCCCAAGAGAGTTCCGGGGACAACACGTATCCGTATTATTCCGCCCCCCAAGCCATGTAGCTTCAGACGGGGCCCCCGCGGCAGCGGCGCCTCACCTGGCGCAGGTCGCGCCAGCGGCGGGGCCGGAGCCGGCGACGCGGCGACATCAGCGGGGAGGGCACCGGGCGGCGGAGCTTGGGAGGCTGCAGGCGTGATTCGACGTCGACGACGGCATGGGCTTCCCTGGTGCAACAACCGTGCCAGTGGATCATCAACCGCAGGAGGCCGCCGAGCGACGTGCCGATGCGCTTCGCGGCATGGCAAACAGCAGCGGAGGCCGCCGCCGCTGGCGCAGCGCTGCCTCGCGCCCGTAACCGCTCGCGGGCTTAGGGCGCGGAGGCAACCCTGGGTCCAGCTGCAGGCGCGCGCCGAGGTCTTGCCCGGGGCCCCCGCAGCGCTCGGCGGCGGGGGTAGCGTCGCCGACAGGGACCTCAGGCCGACCATCGCCGTGGGCGGCTTCGAGGACCAGAGCGGCGTGGAAGTGACAGCAGGCACAGGCACTCAGACCCGTCACCCGTCACCGAAAGCGTGGTCCTCCATTATTTGCAATATTACTAGCTGGGCCAGCGCCCAGCATCTGTTGCGGGAGGAGGCCCACGGAGAAGTCATCGTTTTTGTTCAGTAAGGTGTGGTTCGTCCTGAGTTGCTTGCAGACGCCGAGCCATCTGGAGGTAGACTCGGTTGGATGGCCAAGGCTTCGCCGTCTCTGGGCACGGGGGAGGCCTCTCTGGGGTTCCTGCGATTGCCACTAGACCTCACAGTGGCCTCTGAGAGGCCCTTGCGACAAAGCGCTCCACGTGGGTCAACGGGCTTGTCTCTGGGGGCTTTGTTGCTGGATCCGCCCACCCCGTCACAGGCGGGGACTTTGGGGGGCCTTGGGGGCCGTTGAACAGCCGATCATCTTTGGTGGGGTCTGGAACGCGGCGCCCGAAATTATCATGCATTATCATTGCCTCGGGGTGGCCTGGTGCTTTGGGTGCCTCCATCGTGGAGCCTGGGGCCGATGCTTGCCGTGGGTTTGGGGAGCCTTGGATCACTCCCGATTTGTTTAATCGGTTTAGCTGGGCTCCTTCCAGGTATCCACGTGTGCACCAGGCGCGTTGATTGCAGCGCGTCGCCTTGCTGGGCGGACTGCTCAGAAGTCGCCGGGGGGGGGGGGGGGGCGGGGAGGTCGGCGACCCGGCCCCCGTGCTTCAAGCTACCCAGGCAGGCCCGCCTGGCCAGGTCTGGATTGGGAGACTGCGGGAGTTATTATTCCTGCACGGGGCGCCGCTGTTCTGCCCAATGCGCACTTTGCTTTTTGTGGTCAGGCCGAGGCTGACCTGCCCATAATCCACGGCCGCGCTGCTCGCGACGCATTGCTCTTGCAAGGCCGAGGGCGTTGGTGCTGAGATTGCGCGCAGGTCAGCGCCGACAATGTCCGGGGGCGCTCTTGCGCCAGAGTTTCTCCAGAAGCCCGAGCGTGGAGGGTCATCTCAGGCTGGCCCAGGGGGCTTCCATACTCTGCGACCCGACAGAAGCGTTGGTCCAGGGGCGCGCTGCTCGGATCCGTCTGGAACTTCCCATGCGGTGTTTTCATTTGCGTTTACAGATGGATCCAGAATGGGGAGCGTTTCCGTTTCGACTGGGGCGGCTGGAGTCATTGCCGCGGGTCGACTCAGACATTCGCGCAGGTTCGTTGCCGACCGGGCGAAGATGCCCGGGGCCAGCTTCGCCATCGCCAAGCAGCGCGCCAAGTCTTGGCGTGAGCGCGTGGAGCGCTCTGTCAAGGAGGTGGTCTAGCTCACAGGGTCTCGGAAGGGCCGACTGCCCGGGTGCCCGCCTTCTGCCGCGGCGGAGCCCCTGCGGGCGCAGACGTCGACCCCGCGGGCCCGGGGCCAGAGCGAGGAGACATCCGAGGTTAGAAATCCGGGGCCAGGGAGAAGGGCCATTTAGACGAATGTTCAGAGCCCCGAATCATCAGGGGTAACTCGGGCCAGGGATAACTCGGGTTCGTTTCTCGGGAATCCAAACCCGAGTTACCCCGGGCCCGAGTTACCCCGGATAACTCGGGCGTCCAGAGCCCCGAATCATCAGGGATAACTCGGGTCAGGGATAACTCGGGTTCCTTTTTCGGGAATCCAAACCCGAGTTACCCCGGACCCGAGTTACCCCGGATAACTCGGGCGCCCAAAATGTTCAAAGGTGCCGAGCGGTGCTCGGCTTGGGCGACGCACCAGACCCACTTCCCGTTCGACTGCCTCGGCTGTTCTTCGGGGGTCAGGGGCGTAGGCGGCGGCGCCGGGGGCTGTCGGGGGGCGTCCGCGAATTCTTCAATTGTTCGATGCCGGCCCGTTAACCTTCGGACTTTGCTCTAGAACATCCCGGCGCTGATCTCGTTCCCGCGCCCATTCGCCAGGGTTGCTGCCAGTTTCCTTAGTGGGCGTTCCGGGGAAACGACCAGGTGGAGGGTCGCTCGCCGCCGGGGCCCTGGCCGCGCGCGCGTCGAAGGCGGGGCCCGGGGGCCTTAACGGACGCGGAACAGTTGCGACCAGGCAGTCTGTCAGAGCCCCGAGTCATCAGGGGTAACTCGGGTCAGGGATAACTCGGGTTCCTTTTTCAGGAACCCGAACCCGAGTTACCCCGGGCCCGAGTTACCCCGGATAACTCGGGCGTCCAGAGCCC